TGCCCTCGGGAGTCATGAAGGCAGTTTTTTCGGCGTCTTCCTCGTGCATGAAAATTTGGTGATACCCTCGGAAGGCATCGAGGAAGGACATGACCTCACACCCTGCGGTCTCATCCACTAATTGATCAATATTTGGTAGAGGGAATGGATCCATAGGGCACGCCTTGTTGAGATCAGTGTAGTCCACGCACATGCGGAAGGTAGGGGGCTTCTGTGCGAGGACTACATTTGCTAGCCATGAGGGATATTTCACCTCCTTGATGTGCTTAATGGAGTGGAGCATGGCGACCTCCTTCTTCACAAATTCCCTCCTCTCGGCGGAGAGGGGTCTTCTTCGTTGTTGTACTGCTTTTGCCGAGCGGTCCACCGAGAGGCGGTGGGTGATGACCCTTCGGCTGATTCCCGGCATGTCCTCCGGCCCCCATGCAAAGACAGTGGAGTAGGCGCGGAGGGCGTCGGTGATACCGGTCTTGAGATCTTCAGGGAGCTGGGCTCCAATCTTCACGACTCTCTCCGGCTGGGCCGGATCGAGTGCAAAGTCTTCCACGTCCTCGGCGGGTTCAGCCCTCGGCCTTTTTTCTTCTTGGTCGATGGTTCCGGTGATGGTGTCAACACGGAATTCCGTCTTGCTTACCTTCTTAGTGACCTGAAGATAGCAGGCGCGGGCGATCTTCTGATTCCCCCGGGAGTAGCCAATGCCCCCCTTGGCGGGGAACTTGAGGCAGAGGTGCCTCATGGAGATGATGGCCTCGAGGTCCTCGAGGGCTGGCCGGCCGAGGATAATGTTGTGGGCGCAGTCGATGTTGACAACGACGAACTCCACTTCGAGCTGGGCTCTATGGAGCCCGTCGCCGAAGATCACCGGGAGGGTTATTACCCCCTCGGAATCAATAGTGTCGCCGGTGAAGCCGGCAAGAGGGGTTTTAATGGGCCGAAGGGACCCCCTCTCCAGATGCAGCTCTCTGAAGGTGCTGAGGTACATTACACTGACGGAGCTGCCCGTGTCAATGTAAGTTCGGTGAATAATGGTGTCGTTTATTTCGGTCCGAATCACCTAGGCATCCCTGTGAGGAGAAGAAGTAGGAGGGAGATCTGCGTTGGTGAAGGTGATGGGTTCCTCCCTCAGTCGCTTTACCGGGGGCATATGAGTGACTTCCCCCACGTAAAGCGATTGAGCCCACTTCTTTCGCTGGCTGGTGGAATCGCCCCCTGTATTGCCACCGGTGATCATGAGGATGTGGCGTTTTTCTCTCGGTAGTGGGGGTACTCCTCCTCCTCTTCTTCCAAGTTTCCGATCTCCCTCTTCTTGCCGAGGGGGATGGTATTCGGGTTCACCCAAGCGTTCACCTTCGTGTGGTGCCCTCGGGGAGGTCCCTGATGAGAAGGTCCCTCCTGCCGAGGGCTCTGAACAAATTGGGACAGGTGCCCTGCTTGTATTAACCTCTCGATGGCCGTCTTTAGCTGATGGCAGTCATCGGTCTTGTGCCCCTGGTGCCGATGGAAGCGACAGTATGGGAACTGAGGGTTGATAGCATGTACGTCCGGGGGTGCGCGAGAGTCGCGCTCAACGAGGCCCCTCTCCTCGGCAAAATCGAGGATGATGCTGACGGGGTGCGTCAATGGTGTCCGAGGGCGGTCCAGGAGAATGGGTTGCGCCCAAGTCTTAGGGTTGCTCTTATAACCTCCCCCGGGCTTGGCTTGGCCTTGCCGAGGGCGGTCATCAGAGGGTCCCGAAGCCTTGGGGTGATTTGGAGGAGCCCCCGGCCCTCGGTTATGCTTGTTGTCAGCCCTCGGGGGCTGCTGGTCCGGATGCTGGTGATACTTTTCCACCTCCTCGGCCTCAGCATATCGGTTCCCCCGCTGCAAAGCCCTTATGTAGTCGCGGGGGGGGGGGGGGGGGGGGGGTTCAATGATGAGGCTCCTTGAAAAGTTGCCGGTGCGGAGGACGGTTTGTAGGAGGGCCAGGAGGGTCCCGTCATCAGCACCGTCAACCTTGTCGGTCTTCGTCCTCCAGCGCTCCAGGAAGTCCCGAAGGGTCTCATCCCTCTTTTGGCGTATGGTTAGGAGGTGGGAGAAGTGCTTCCTCGTGCGACGCCTCCCGACAAATTGTGTCAAGAATCGCTGGGCGAGTTCTTGCCACGAATCAATGCAGCCCTCGGGAAGCCTGTTGAACCATTCGTATGCCGGCCCCTCTAAGGTGGAGAGGAACCAACGACACAAAGATTCGTTCGACGCCCCCACCATCATCATGCTGTTCTGGTATTTGATGTAGTGTTCCTGGGGGTCCGTTTTCCCGTTGTAGGGCAGTATGTGTTGCCCTCGGTATTTTTCCGGGATCCGGGCCGCCAATACCCTTGGGGTAAATGGCGTCCGAGTCCGGAGCTGGATGACGGGTTCCCCAGAGCCCTCGGCCACCTTCTTCTGTAATTCCTCCATTTTGGCCATCATGGCCTCGTATTTGAGGTCTGAGTGAGGGGTGGAGGTGGTGGCGTGAGCTTTGTTGGACTCCATTTCGTCAAGCCGGCGTTGGAGGGCCGCAATAATCTCGTCCCGGGGATCCTTCGGGAGGGTCTCCGCCCCCTGCGAACGAACCCGGGCCGAGTGGGCCTGGTTGATCTGGTGGCGAGCATCATTGGCATGAAGGGGTGCCTTGCCTTTGTCCCGAGGGGGACGCTCCTCGTCTGCCCTCGAGACAGACCCTCCACTTTCCTGAGGCCTTTGGAGTGCCTTTCCTCCGAGGCGGTCTTGGACCCCTTGGCGGTCTGGCCCTCCTCCGAGCCGGTTGAGGGCGGAAGTGCGGGGCCTCTCCCTGTTGTCATTGTGGCGATCCCGGGACTGTACTTCCTGGGAGGACGTATCCTGGGCCACTACCCCTTCGTCGTTCCTCACCCGAGGGGTGGGATTTTCGAAGGGGTGTGGCGGAGGGGGGAGTATGATGTTTTCCCCAACCTGGGGGTGAGCCGGAGCCAGGGTGCCGAAGGCACCCGGGTTCTGAGTGAGCGTCTGGATGAAGGCGGAGAGCGCCGATTGCACGTCGATGGTGAGAACCGGAGGGCTGACTTGGTCATCGCTCCGGTTTTTCTTCTTGGCCTCGATGCCGAGGCGGGCATCAGGGGCATTTTGTTGGATCTGAAGGCGTAGGTCGACAGCCGCCTGTTCCAGCCCAGCGATGACACCGCCCTCGGGAGCCCTGTGAGAGGCTTCGGGGGCGTTGACGTCGCCGAGGGCCAGGTTCTTGTCTTCTACGTTCTTTGAGTTGGCACGTGTTGTTCTCACCATTTTGGTAGAGGGCTAGTGTTTGGCGAAGGGGGAGGGTTTCTTACTCGATTGTTCGACCTCTCAACGAGAGCACCAAATGATGGATAGTCTACCCGGGGGTATATATCCGAAGGGCTATTGCTGGGAATAACTTTAGAGAGAAGTCAGAGCAAGTAAATGTAGAGAGAGAGAGTGTATTATAAATGTGGAGCGTTTTCAGCGTGGTTACAAATGGGGAAATGGGGTGCTATTTATAGTAGCAATAAATGCCGGGCAGGGACACGTGTCAAGCGCCTATTGGCCGAGGGGTCACCTCGACTGGTTGGCGTTGGCAGCCGCATGTGGCCGCATTTAATGCGGCTGTTGGATGGGACGTCTTGTACAGGGTACGGTGATCTGTACGCATGTGAGGCGGATATCATGTCGGGAGAGATGCCCTCGGCTGCAGAGGACTAGCCGAGGGCTCTTAGTGCTGAGGGCCCCTGAGTGCCGAGGGCTCCAGGTTGCCGAGGGCTACTGTTTTCGCCGTTTTCTCCCAGTTCCTCTGTTTGTTCGAAATACCCATGCTATGATAGTTTGGAGCCTTCGGACAGGGGGCCGAAGGCACCCCTGGTGCGTATTGTGAGCTGCTTGATACTCTGGGCGCTGTGATTTGGGCCTGTTGGGCCTTTTGAGCCTGTTGGGCCTTCGCTGGAGTAGTAGGAGTCTGTGGGCCGGGGGTTCCCGGGCCATATACTCCATCAAATATATTTGGAAAAATTTTTACACAGAATTTATTACACTAAAAATATGAACATTTTTCAAATTTACGCTGGGCCAAAGCTAGAGTTGGCCCTCCCATGGCTCCACCCCTGGATTCAATGGATTGCTACCATTGCCTATGGATTGCTACCATTGCCTAGTCTATATATTCCCCCAATAGAATTGGCGGGAAAGCAAAGAAATAGCGGAAACACATTTAATGCATCGGATATGGAAGATTTTATGGTTGGAGGTTAGTCATCCAAAGACTCGCCATGTCACCCCCACCACCTATTACCTTGTACTCTATAGTATAAATATTAGCATTAATTTCATTGTAAAAGATTCGCAACTTGTATTCGATAGCTTAATTAGCTTCTAGCTCTAGTTCTTCTGTATTCTATTCAAGTTGAAAGAGCTCCATTACAATTATGTTTATCTATATAAACTAACATACAGTAATTTACATTTTGAATTTTTGTATCAAAATTTTCTAAAGTGTTAACTATCTGAATAAGTCATCAACTGAATAATAATACAAGGTATATCCTGAATAGTTGTGGGGCAAGGTCAGCAACTCTATTCCAAGTGATGAAAACTCGACGGGACAATTGTGATGTGTCTTATTAAACATTTGCCATCATAATAATTACAATAATACTTTATCAATTTTTGTTTTCAAAAGTTTATTTTAAGGTAGATTCTATGGCACCCTTAAGGTACCGTACCTTTGTTCATATGGACTAATCAGAATGATGTAGTTGAATTATTTAAATCTAAATTAAAAATGATGTAATGATTTGAACGAATCAAGTGAGTGCCAGGTACGGTACCTCATTTTTTAAATGGGTACCTGAGTTGTATTCTATGGTACCCATAAGGTACCAGACCTTTGTCCACATTGACCAATGAAAATATTGCAGTTGAATTGTTTAAATCTAAATTAAAAATGATATAATGATGTGGACCAATCAAGTGAATGATAGGTACGATACCCCATTTTTTAAAATGGGTATCCGAGTTGTATTTTCATTTTTAAATAGGTACGATACCCCATTTTCCAAAATAGCAAAATGGAAGAACTCCACTATTGATGCAAGAAGAAGAAGGAATTTCCTAAACAACTTGGTCGGTCGAAGACCCGTAATTCGAAGTACCTCACTAGGGAGGGGTGTAACGGAAACCTCAAGCCCTTGAAAATGAAAAAGGTAAACGCTCTTAAGTACCCCATCGACAGGGAGAGCACGTTGCCCGTCCAGCTCTTGTACCCTAGCGTGAGGACATGCATCCCCAGTGGTGCACATAACAGTGATCACACTCCCCAGAGTTCAGCAAGATGATGAGAAGATTTGAGCAATTCTCATTATGGATAGAAGGCACCTCGACGGCATACTGATTGACAATGCACTAACAACTAGAGACATCTCATTATGGATCTAAAAGAAATTCTCATCTAAACACTAAATCTACAACTCTAATAGCAAAATATATGAAAGTAGTGAGAATTGGGCGAAGAACTCAACTTGAAGATTTGAAGGTGAGTGAAGAATGACAAGAAGTTTCATTCTCTACGAAAATTGGCAGCACCTTGCGTCAAACACAAATGAACTTCGGAGAGGGGTATTTATAGGTGAAGTAATGAAGACAACATCAAACTCAAGACAACGTCAACACGCCGGTTGCCCCTCAGTTCAATCGATGCGTCTACTGAACTTCCAACAACTTAGATTGCGCCACCTGACACACCACTAGTCTAGAACGAAGCATTCCTCAACCATAAGGCGATCACAAATACATGTCGGCTAAGTATTTTGATGAGGCTTAACCTCTGAATAACACAGACGCTCCGGCCACCTATAGCAAACACTCTGGCTACCTCCAAGAAATATTTCGGCGCTTCGTCCCAACAAAGGAGGATGTAGCCATGGCCCCTCGACCACGAACACCATAGAAGCAGCTATTTTGACATCATATTGCCCCCGGTTTAGGCCCACTGGTGATAGTCTAGAGCCAATGACCTTCATACAAGGATTCTCTCATAGGATTTCCTTGGTTAGGGTTCATCAATAAGATCAAATCCGTGAACTAGATCGTGGGCGGCACCTCGACGTACTAGTATCTACTCCTCAACCTAGAGACATCTCTCAACTCCAATCGGGCAAGAACTAGAATAGAAGGCAAAAAGACATTAACAAGGATGAGGGCTCTTAACCCCCTCGTCTTGGATGATCACCTCGTCCATTACTCAGCAGACTGCCAACTAGCGCAACACGTCATATTCTGCCACACTACACACTAGTTTACACATGTACGTACATTTAATGCACCTACCATTTATTATTAGTATAAATACCCCGTTTGGGATACATGTAAAGGGTTCGAGAATCATTATTACATCAAATGTTTTTATCTCTCTATACTTAGCACTCACTTCTCTTTAAATACCTTTGACAGTATTCTGATGAGCTATCAATAACAAAAAATAACGTGGAGTATCCTTCTAACTATAAATCCAATCATGTATGACATCAAGAAGTGATTTTGAACAATCAATAAAGTTTTTCTTGAAATGAATTCATTTATTCGATGTTTTGTTATAATTTTTTGATGAGTTAAATGATCAAATTTATATTGAAATGAAAATGGTTGAGGCATAGAAATAGGCAAATAGCGCACAAATAAAAGTAAATATATTTAAGTATTTGCCCTAAATAGGAGTAAATTATCAGAAAAGTTCCAAAATAGGACTTCTCTTTAATTTATTCCCTAGATAGGACTAAATTAGATGGTCTTCCAGTTCTACCCTTCTCTGCCCATTTGTACGCACATCTCCCTTTCCCCCGAATCTCACACACATCTTCTTGTCTCCTTCCCCATCACCTCTCTCCTTCTCCATCCCTTATCTTCTTCCCCATCCCTTCTCTTGCATCTGACATCACAACTCCAGATCTCATGCCGCCATTTTTTCCCTTCTCTTCTCTAATACCTTTAATTTCATTCTATCAATCTCGATTTTCTTCATCTTCGCCGATCTTCGGTGATATGGACATCAATTTTCTCTTCATTTTCGGCCATCAGTGAGCGACGAGGACGTCGAGCGACGGTGAATGGTGAGTGGCCACCGGTGGACGACAACTAGGTATGATTGAATCTCCTCCTCCTCCCCCCTCCCCTCCTCTTCCTTCTCCATCTCTGATTTTGTTATTTGTCAATTTTTTAGTTTTTTTTATTTCGAGATTTTTTATTTATATTTATATTTGTTGTTTTTTATTACTTTTTTAATATGAAATTGACATAAATGTTACTACGTATTATTTTCCCTATTAAATACTCCCTCCGTCCCAATTTGTAAAATACTTTACGGTTTACGATGTTTGACCGACGATAAAGCAAATTGATCCCTTTCAACACTCGAATTAGTTTTAAAAAATAAATTTACATATTCAGAAACTACATTAAAATTGCTACAAAACCTGCAAAAAATAATTCAAATTTCATAAACTTTTGATATGTAAAGTAAAAGATTAAAAGTAATTTATGTTGACCAAGTGAATAGTAAATGTATCTTACAATTTGGGACTGAGGCAGTATAATCTATTGAAAATTAATTTCAGAACTATTTATTTTTATGGGGTTGCCTTTACAATATACAAGTATGTTATTAATTTGAATATGAAAAGTCACTTGAAGAATGAATGCCATTTTTATGGCATTAACATTACGAAGATGGCAATAATGCTCATTTTGTAAAACATTAGTGCCATGTGTTGTAATACGAAAGTGTCATCTTATTTCTGTCAGGATGATAATAATATTATTAAGTTGACATTAGAACTACAAGATGACACTTGAGTGGTAGTCATACCAGACCCGAGACCAGATCTGAGATCTAAAGTGATTGGCTCACTGGAGGCACCTTCGCCGCCAAAGGGCGCACTGTTCACGCACATGAGGCACAATGGTGTTGGATGAGGCGGCGACATAGTCGGAGGTGGCGGTGATGACGCCGTACATGGCAGCGGCCGACAACAAGGCTAGATGAGGTCACATATGGAGTGACCGGTGGAACCTGTGGCAGCGGCGGCGATGCCGATGACGGTGGCGACGCCGGTGGCTGTGGCTATGGCGGCTGGGGATGTGGTGCATGGATTATTGTGGTGTTGGGTCTCTCATAATTTTATTACTCCGTATTATGTTACTTTGTATTATTAATAAAGATTAGTTCATTAAGGGCAATTTTAGCAATGTATCTCTTTTTAGTCCTACAGAATATGACAGTCCTATTAGTGCAATTAAAACTTAGTTTAGTCCTAGACATGAAATTATCTCAATATATTTTAATTTTAAAATAAGATTTATTTGATTCTAATAAAAACATAAAGGGGTAGAAATCCACAAACTGCCACAATTAATGATGAATGGTAAAATTTCAACTGCATAAAACAAAATCTTTATATATTTAACAATGGAATCAACTGAGAAATAACTGTTCCCGCCTGATTCCATTGTGGCAAATGATGCTTCGTACTTGCTTAATAAGGAATAAGTGGACATGTGTCTAATGTAATTTAATCTTTATATATAACTGTTCCCGCCTCATTCCATTTGTGTATTACCAGATACCCAATTAAGTGATCATGTGATACATCAAATGTCAATTATGGTCCACAAGAAAAAGTATTAATAGATTAATGCAAAAATAAATACAGATTACTATTCTATAATGCAACACGTAGTGATGCATAACCAACAGACGACAAATCTGGAGTGGCTGAGCAGTTTGAGTACACGATCTCTATCTACATGGTTCCAATTAACTGCCTGCTATCCCTTTAAATACCTGCTACAACACAAACTTGATTTACTATTGACGAGACAAAATAAAGGTAACTATTTCAGAATCGATTACTTTATCAATATTTTGAAGCCATGATGTTTTATTTTGGCTGATATAAACAATGGGATCATGGCCATTGATTCTCTTTTTGAGATCAGCTTGGCATATATTTCTTTAACAATCTTCTTAATTTTATTTTCGATTAAAATAAAATACTTGGGTTTTACAAGGTTCGCCACTTGGCCGTGTTTCTAAGGAGATCATTGGTGTGGAGTAGGGTGAAGATGGTGGTACCTAGCATGCAAAGAGTGCCAGAAAGTTGCATCTCAGAGGGGAGTGTTTGGAAGCCTAAATACGAATTGCAAAGAAAAATAAAGGCCAGGTTGTTATGGTATGAGATTTTTTGGGATTTTGATGTATATTAATATGCACACAACGATTAGATCATACTTAAAAATTCATATTTCTGTGGTGACCAAGGATGAAGCAATTCTCGAATGCAACAAGAGACATCTGAGATTACTATTTCAGAGGCTACATCTATACAGGCTGAGGTTAGTTAGTTTGAGTTTTAATAAGATTACTTGCTCTAAAAACTTATTTACATTATTTAAAAAAAATGGAAAGCACTACTGATGAAGCCAATGAAAATAGGTTGAGACTATGAGAATGACGTATCTGAAGAGGTCCTATAGTCCTTACAACTGAGAATTCAAACACAGAATGAGATGAAACGGGCTGCTAGCCGTTAGGGCTGATGAAACACGTAATAAGATGTCAAAGAAAAACAAGGGCAATTCATGTGAAGGTTGAAAGGGTTTGATGTACATCTGGATTGCTAAAAGCGGCAAAGGTTCATGTTGGGGGCAGTGTTATGATGTTTTGTCATCATTTATATTTTGTTTGGTGTTATTAATATCTAATTCTCTAGCAATAATAGATGCTTAGAAGAAAAAATGTTCCAAGAACCAACTCAAGAGTAAAAAAGTTCAGTTTACCTTAACAAGACTGGGATATGTTATTTAACTCCAAATCGTACTTTAAACAGTGATGTTGAAGTGCATTAGTATATGTTCATTTTTTAACATAACACGGCTTAAAGGTTAAAATGGGTAAAATAAATACATGAAATGGTGTTTTGATTTTAAAATCATAGAGTACTTCAACAGTGAATTGTAAACTTTAGGTTCACATCCTATTTCAAATATTGATTTTGAAGTCCATTTGTTTAACTTAGTTTTTTTACAAAGGTCAATTAAATGTTAAAAATAATTTTTTAAAATAACAGGCAACTAAAATAAGACAACTAAACATAGAACATATAGATTACTTATGAAGTGGACTGTAAACTTTATGTCCAAATCCTATTTCAAGTATTGATGTTGAAGTTCATTTGTATGCCTAAGTTTTTTTACGAAGGTTGATTAAATATTATAAATTGTTTTTGAAAATACAGGAAACTGAAATAATAAAACTAAACATAGAAAACTAGGTAATGAGAACAACGGAATGCTAGAAATGAGCAAGACGAAACAATACAAAGAGTATATATATAAACAGTAGCCTTCATGATACCTTTCAGATCAGTTTTTAAAAGTATTTGACTAAAAGAGAACGATAAAAAGTCATTGTATTTAGTCAAAGAGAAATTATAAAGATTTATTATGTTTAATAAAAGAAAACTTCATTCTTACTAAAGCCATGGAGCTAGATCTGAGATGTAAACGTTTGTTAAATAGGTAGTCAATAAAAAATTGAATGACGCCAAAAGATTTAAGGTGATACATACATTACATATAAAATATAAATAAAAAAATTAACAGCAAAAATATAAATCATTATGATTTAAAAATGAATAAATAATCAAAAAGACTTGCATTGATGTAGATTAGATTGTGAAAAACAAAAATATTGCATCCAGAGAACTAGATAAAAATGGATATAACCGGACTTACTAGCTGTCGTAGACATGCATCCACGGATCTGAAAGTAGTGTACATTTGTTGAGCTGACCCCGGCCTCAACAATCGCATAAATGAAGTTGAGTTCTTACAAATGAAAACAATTCAAGAAATCAAAAAGTACTCAATTACAAAATAATTAAATAAATATCTATAAACAAAAACCTAAACTACTCAGATAATGTGAGATGAAACGGAAGATGAGGAATTATGTAGAACCTGGGGATACAACGGTGGTCTCCTGAACTTAAACCGGAACATCGACCGCAGACGAAGTACGGCAAGGCATGCACCGATGGAGCGATTCCCAACAGACTTATTGTGTTGAATGTTTGTGAGGATGAGCGTGTGGAGTAGGGTAAGAGTGAAGTCAGGAAGCGATGGATAAGCTTTAAACGGAGCATATATTTCAGATATATATACGTAGGGATTATTAGTAATTGGACCAAAAATACATGGCCCGATGAAACCTAGAAGTCCAAATTTTCTGTTGCTCTATCTTCTATTATTATTATTATTATTATTATTATTATTATTATTATTATTATTATTATTATTATTATTATTATTATTATTATTATTATTATTATTATTATTATTATTATTATTATTATTATTATTATTATTATTATTATTATTATTATTATTATTATTATTATTATTATTATTATTATTATTATTATTATTATTATTATTATTAATAATAATAATAATAATAATAATAATTTATTAATTTATTAATCATTAATAAATAATAACAATATTATTTTTTTTGTTTATGAGCCGATCAGATATCTACGAGTCTCCTTTCAAAAAAAATATCTACGAGTCTATATTTGATTAAAATGAGTGAACACCTATTCCGGAACATATGTTAGCTAATAATCCTATTTGTTGTGTTTTTTTTAAGTATTCATATAGTCTGTAAAATTATATATTAACAGGAAATATATATTACAAAAATTATTCCGGTTACTTATTGTTTGTAATAACATTTTGTACAAAGAACTTTTAAATGATGTAAGAAATTTATTGTTGATTTTGCATTTAAATGTCAGTGACCGATATATTGATATGTATACCTATATAGATGAATCCTATGATTTTTCAAATTTCAACATTTTCAATAAGAAATAAAAAGTATAATAGAACAATTGTTATCTTTTACTCATATTTGTGAATTTTTGTTAGGAACAATTCGTATTCATAAAATCAATATAAAAGTGTTTACTACTCCTCCTGTTTAAAAAAGATTGGCAAAATTGCCAATGATATTTTTTAACACTAAATTATTTATAATATGAAATTTATATGAACATATGATTTATTAAAAAATCTTTCATAATTAAAAGTCTAAAATTTATAATTAAACTATGCACAAATATAATATCTAAAATCATTGTCTAAACTTTAACAACATTCACCAAGAAAAGTTAAATTCACCATAATCACCAATCTATTTGGGATGGAGAGAGTATGAGACAATATATATTAAAAAATGTGATTGTTATCTGTAATTTGTTACTGCTTATAACATTTCTTCATAATCTATATTTTATGGGGTTGGCATTGTTTGGTATTTTTGTTGATTCTTATTTACCTATTATCCAATTTTCATCTTGCATAAATTTGTTATTAATATGTGGCATGTGTTTACTGGCACTATCAATTGTTTTTAAATGGGTATATGCATATAAAAATCAAAGTAACTTTAATACTATCTCCGTCCTAATAACATTGGGACAAGAGGGAGGACACAATTATTAAGAAAAATAAGTTTATGTGGTTGATATTGAATTGATAAAATAAGAATAAAGTAAAAATGATTTAGAGCCACATAAACTTTATCAAATTTGACATTAGATAATTTTAGTAGGATTTCTCGAAAAAGAAAAAATGAGACAATCTTAGTGGAACGGATATAGTATTTCATTAGGTGTGTTTCATTTTTTTGCAAAGAAGATATGAAAAATAACTTACATGTACACAATAAAAATAAAAATATTAACAAAAAACGTTTTTTTGTAATGGTCAATTGTGTGTAACTCTGTCACGAGTTATCAATCATAAATGTTACATATCTAGAAGGTTTTCAAAACGTTTAATTTCTTCAATGTTGTAATGTGTTGTTTCGTAAATACATTTAGTACAACAATTTATATTTGTTTCATATTATTATATCTTATTATATGTGTTTCATTGTTGTTTGAATCGATATATTCTACATATATTGATATTTAGATATATCTCTTATAATATACGGAGTATCCAATAAACAAAAAACATTTTCGTCCCGGGGGTACTATACTTGTGTAATCATAAATCAACCCTATTAGAATCGAAAGGAGGTGAAAAATCCAAAACACAAGAGTCCGAGTTACTTGCGCAGTGGTAGAAATCCACAAACTGTGTTCGCATGAGTGCATGACTTTGATCTTCCACGCACTCTCACTATACACAGATTGTAGATACATATACCCAACACAGAGACCGAGCAGAACAAATACAGATCTCCCCCTCCCCTGTTTTACTCGCATCCAACTTTTGCAGAGAAGATTGGGAGATGGGTAAAGCTTCCGTCTTCCTCTACATCACAATCGCCGTCCTCCTTTTGTTCCTCATCTCCCATTCTCCCAACAAGGGCAAGACCGGCCGCCGGCACCGTCGCCTCAAGCTCCGCTCCAACTTCACCTTCTCTCCGCCCACCGACGGCGCCCACCACCACGACCCCATCCCATTCGACCCCCTCGTCGCCTACATCGAACGCAAGCGAGAGGACAAACAATGGGAGAAGATGTATATAGAGTCCCACCACCCTGAGCTCAAGACTCAAGTCGAGCACGCCCCCGGCGAGCAGGGCCAACCGGAGTGGGAGGACTTCATGGATGCCGAAGATTATCTCAATGACGAAGAGAAGTTCAATGTCACGAATCGGCTTGTCCTGCTCTTCCCAAAGATTGACATTGACCCGCCGGATGGGTATGTGAGTGAGCACGAGTTGACTCAGTGGAATTTGGAGCAGAGCAGGAAGGATGTGCTGCACCGGACGGAGAGGGAGATGGAGGTTCACGACAAGAATCGCGACGGGTTTGTCTCTTTTGCTGAGTATGAACCCCCCTCGTGGGTGCAAAAATCCGGTGAGTTGAGCTATTATATCTGAATAATCCAGTTAAATGTTTCAAATAAAGAAAGATTCTTTAATATTTATATTGCTTCGATCCATGGCGTTTGCTTACTTGCAAGTCCGACTGTCCTAGGGAAGATTTGATCTTTAACCCGTCATTGAGTAGGCATGAAGCTGTTTTGATTTACTAAGAGCTTTTTAAATATTACAAAGAGCAGTTACTAAGTAGGTTTGCTTCCATGTAAATGATTAAATGGCAGTAATACAATCCAGACATTGCTCAAGAAGAAGCTTTTGATATTAATTTCTGGTACGTCACAAACAAATCTAGTACTTGGTTTAGGAAACATTTTCTTGGAAATGTAAAGTTCTTAATTGTAACAAGTAATATATGTGCTTGAAGTGGGCAAAAGTGGCTTGAAGTTTTTTTAGTTCAACAACGGAAATTAGATAAAACCAACAACAGTTTCCAAGAAGGCGGGCCATACCAAACCTTGAAACAAGTAAATACACTGATGGTAGTATATTGTGAGCGATAATACATACTGTATCCCTGTGAGTTGGCAATATGTAACTGTAGAGCATAATTGTATAAAGATACAAGCAGGTTTATCAATTTTCTTCCGACTGTTCCTGGCACTGAATTTGCCTTTCTATGTTATTGTCTTTTCTTTTGCTAAAACCTTCCATAACAACAAACAACAACAACATTACCCCAGTGCTGCAAAGGCTACCACCTACGGTGGAGTAATGGGGATCAGATGTACACAACTTTACCCCTGTACTAAGAAGCGTAGATTGATTGCTGCTCCATAACAAAGAAGCGTCGATGGTTTAGTAAACCGCTTTGCTTTATTCCTTCATATTCCCAAGACAAAAAATAGCGAGCCTTTGGCTCCATTGCAAATGATGGAAATTGCCAAAACCTTCCCATTGAACTCATTTGTGCATCTGTCAATCACATATATTAGTTAAAAATATCATTGGTTATACTATTTTGAATTCGTCATCTATCACACACATTAATTAAATATATCTTCTCATGCATATAAAGTAGGTAGTACTGTTTATCATTGTCATCAATGTGACAATTTCAACACCTTAATAACATTAGCTGGGGTCGGTGACGTTAAGTTTACAGTACCAATTATTGCATAAACTTATCCAGCACTATAAGTTATGAATGCGGAAAAGTATTGGAGCAACATTTTATCCTGTTGCAGTGTTCATAAGAAGAAATGGTGTGATTAAAATTCTAAATCTGTCATCATCAATTTGTCATAGCTTATTTTCACATACATGTAAATTATCACGAGACAGATATGAATCTAGGTATAAGGTATTTGTTGTAGTCATGCCAATTACATGATTCATAATTTGATATTCAAGACCAACATGGAAATGATGAAATATGACCATGGGTCGTATTTTTATATAACTTCTCAATTGTTAGGGCTTCGCTTTTAGAAAGAAAGCATGTTAATATTCCTTAGTCAGCTTTAATTAGCCAAGTACCTTTTGTTCTGATGGCATCACTGTTGATCTCCCAAAGAGGAGGTCTCAGGTTCGAGTCTCATCTCAGTCAAGGATGTTGGCATTATCATGAGCAGATACTATAATAGGTTTAGAAGATTATTCAAAAAAAGTCAACTTTAATTATGAAACACTAGCATTTCTATTTTTGTCTCATAATCATTATCATGTTATATTTCCACTTTCGCTTGATAAAGTTTGCGTTGTGTTTTATACACATGTCATACACCAGAAAGCAAATCAGGTGGATATGACATGAGCTGGTGGAAAGAAGAGCACTTTTATGCATCAGATATGGATGGAGATGGTCTATTGAATCTCACTGAATTCAATGAGTAAGTTTCTACATAAAAACAAAGTTTCCTCGATATGTGTCTTAACAGGGGAACCGAAATCTGTAAATCAATTTTCCTTTATTGTCTTCATCTCATGCAATGATTTTATTTACTGCGGGATATTGCAGCTTTCTGCACCCTGCAGACACCACCAACCCAAAGCTACTACTATGGCTGTGCCAGGAAGAGATAAGGTGCAACACTTTTCTTTAAACTGAACTTCATCGCTCTCTCACTTTCATTTTGAAATACTTACTTATCAAAATGAGAGCTTTTCAATACATTATGCATTAAAAAGGAATAGTTGTTGAATAACAAGACTACTTTTATTGAAAACAACTTTGTTTGAAACTTTGATCATTTCTAATAAATCATGCATATAGAGAATTGATGAGTGTAAATTGATGATTAAATTAAACTCTAAGGTTTCTAGGTCTAGGTTTAGACTTTCCAATTTCCATACCTTGATCCGTTCCTCAAACAGAAGCATGTGAAAATTGTTTCAAGCTCAGCACGAAACTTGATTTTTGTATCTGGAAGCTTGATTGCTTGAACTTGAAGCTGAACTTTAATTGTACATAAATTAATGTTCACTCTGGCTTCATTTATGCTTCAATAAGTCAATGTATCTTTGGTTCCTGCTGCATACCAATCTCTGATACTATCTTAAATAACAAACCTATTTTCATTGATATAAATTATAACTTGATTTTATCAAGTCTTAGAATAATTCTAGAGTTAATCTCTGATGCTACGTACTATTTATGTAGTGCATATTGGTCCTACCTTTTAGCTGGATAAACTTCACGGGAATCACGGGTTTTAAACCTGGGGTTTAGACCTTCAATACTTATAACAATATTCCAGGTTAACTCAACAAACTGCTACATTTTTTGGGAAAACGTGCACTTTATGTCTGCTCTAGTATATTGAAATTACTCACTTGAGTATTTGCAATTTAAATTGAGCTTGTATGTATGTCTTTGCAATTTGTTTGTGAACTTTCTCCATGTTCATTTTATATGTTATTTTCAGCAATTCGATTCCCTTTGCATGTTTTTTATTTCAGGGAGAGAGATAGTGACAAAGACGGAAAAGTTAACTTCAATGAGTTTTTCCACGGGCTTTTTGACTTGGTAAGAAACTACGATGAAGATGGTCACAATGCTTCACACCATTCTGAAGACTCAGAAAGAACGCCAGCAAAAAAGTTGTTTGATGAGCTTGATAAAGATGGCGATGGGTGATTATCCTTATATTGTACTCTAAGAGTTATTTTGTGATTTATCTAATAATTAATCGAGTGAACACATGCATTTGCCTTATCCGCATTGCAGATATTTGTCTGATGTGGAATTACTACCTATAATCGGAAAACTTCATCCTTCAGAGCGTTACTATGCTAAACAACAGGCTGAGTACATCATACAACAGGTAGTTGTTTGGGAACAATCATTCTCAAGTAGAAGAATATGGAATATGGCTCTTTAATTTAAGGCATGCAAAGATCTATCGTCCCATTCAAGAGGTTTTAATTAGAACAGTGTGTTTTTAGTGCTCACAACACATAAAAATCACTTGAGTTAAATATTCTCCATTTTAAAGTAAGTTACAACTCTTATATCTGCATTTTGTCACCCAACAACCTCAAGACCAACTTTATTCAAAACAAACACACGCACAAACATAAATCGTATTGCCTTTTGTCTTTGTTGTTTCTTCCACTTTTCCTTTTATTTACTGTGGGTCTGTGGTAGTTGCCTCCACATTATTGAGGAGATTACATCCTGGTGGGATGTTGATCTTAATAAGAAGTAAATTGTAGGCTTCCCTTAAAGATTCGATGGGTGACAATTCTTCAATGATTGTTTCTGCTTTGCACCTCCTGACACATTGGCCAGTCTTTATAGACATTGCACTTCTCAGAGACAAAAACAACAATTATAACCAAACATTAATCCCAAATTACTGGAATAGGTTGCATGAGCCAATAGCTTATCTTTTAGTTCATCCACTATTATTTCCATTTTCTGCACTTCTCCTTATGCAACATGGAGTCATATCTTTTCTAGTCTTGCCACAACTCTTCCTTATGTTTCCATAGTCACACTCTCTGTACTGGGGGCACTTACCTTATTTTGAAAAGCCACTTAGCCACAACACCACTTTTAATGAGTCTCCTTATTTAGTACTTCATCTAATCTAGTTTGCCCTAATATGGGTCTTACATAACTATAGGTGCAAGCATAGGTTCACATATACTTTTAGGTAAAACTTGTGAGACGATAACATATTCTTCAAGTGATATCACATAAAGGTTGAAGTTCTATAATTACTCCTTTACCTAAAACATTACATGAATCTCTACCTGCCCAGATAAAAATAGTGTTAGGCCGTTAGGGTCAGAGCACACACACAAATCCGAAAAACAAGAAAAGAACGATAAGAAGAATGACACGAATTTAACGTGGTTCAGCCAGTAGATGTTACTGACCTAGTACATGGGGGCAACTAGGGTTTTCATTCTCCCAAAGATTTTCCTGTAATGAGGTTTTATCGACTACTGTATAATCTCTCATACTGAAACTTCGAAACATCCCAAAAAAGCATGGAATGAATATGGTACAATGCAAGCGAAGAACACATATGCAGGTGCATCGGAGATATCACTGGCAGGGGAAACTTATCTTATTGGATAGGGGGGAAGCGAGTGATCAGCCTAAACCTGTCAAGTTATCCTGGCCTTACATTCAAGCCGGATAAAATGGATATGAGTGATTCGATAACTGTTCTTTAACAGTCCCCCTATCCTTTAGAACTTTGTCAAGTGCTGTCCCAAAAACCTTGTCATTTTCCCTTTTAAGCCATTAAATGGTGGCTCTTATTATTTCTTTGTCCTCTACACAAAACAATTTTTACTTTATTATTTAACGTGCTGGTCAAACTCGACAAAGTTATAAGGGACGGATGAAGTATACTCCAACTCCTTTATTGTTTCCCTCTTACTAAAATAATCACTCACTTTTCCCTATCTAATAAGGGGCATGTATTTGGGATATACTCTTATTCCACATATTCAAACTACAATAGAAAGTTCAAGTATGAGATTACCAACTTGGCATATATATCAATTAAATCATTAAAGTATTGTTACACCATCCGATGTTACTACCCATCTTTTATTTCCTTTGAGCCGTCTTATAGATATCTTTCCTCCCATCTCTTGAGTCCAGCCTGTCACAAACTTTTGAATTTGCATTATGAACGGTTTCTCTAACTTTGCTTTAACAACTTTATATTTACTCTAACTTTCCTTATCCCTACCCTCTCCCAAACGTTGGCAGCGTTCTCCATTCTCTATCACAACCACCTTTTTCACGTATGCAAATCATGTAAAAACTTTAACTTTTTTGTCATGATTTGCAGGTTGCATGATTTGAATACGAATTGGTTCTAGGAAATGTTGTCTTGATATAAATAGGTGATTTATTTAATTTCTTAAGCTATTATCTATTATGCTAAGAGCCCTTTTGGTGACCCATATTTTCAGCTTATTAACCTTTTTTTTATACCAAACACGTAAATTTTTATTTTTATCTTTCTTATAAATAGACTGTTCTTTTATCTTATACTAGTATTTATCTTTATCTTATCCTTTTATTTTATCTTATCTTTTTATTTTTCTTTTTTTCTTTTCTTTTTGGCTCCGATAACATGGATCGATTCATGTTAGCCGATCACAAATCTTTTGGGAATAAGGCTGGGATGTTGTTGTTGTTGCATGTAAATTTTGATTTTATGCGCCGAATTGCTTAATAAACAAAATAAGTAAGTTTGAAATTTCTTTTTGGCTAAATTTGTTGAAAAGGACCTTTTATCTATTTTCATATATTTTTGCTTTACTCTATTAATAAAATATAGTCAAATACTCCCTCTTTCCCAAAGAGGTTTGTCAATTTTTCTTACTTGCCCGTCCCAATAGGTTTGTCATATCCCTTAAAAGTAATAAATTTGTGGTTTATGCTATTTCTCTCCTCTACACAAATTTCTATCACACATTTTTTACTTCCATTATTCTACGTGCAAATCAAAGTTAGACATTCTTTATGGGACTGAGGGAGTATAATTTGGCCATAATCCAGCCACTTCACACGAATTTCATCAATTTCAGCAGATCCAGCCAATGTCAGTGTTACGAAATGGGCACTAAGTATGATCTAGCCTTTTTTAAGACTATGCATTGCTAAATATCACCTGCCGGCAATGGCATGATATTTGAATGTACATGAGATGTTGAGGCCAATGTCAGTGTTACGAAATGGGAACTAAGTATGATGCAATCTTTTACGCGGACAACCTGCGGTTCCATGTCAAAACATTTCTCCAAGCTCCTCCCACCATCATCATTTTTTATAATGATATACTTCCTCCGTTCCAAATTGATTTGCAAATTTGACTTTTCTTGGTCAAACAGTTTCATTTTATTCACTTAATTAGGATGTCAATTTTTAATTATATTCTATTTTAGAGTTTACAACTTTGAAGAGATTTTAATGTAGTTTCCAAATATATAAATTTTAATTATTAAAAATTGAATTAATTATGGATAGCGAGCATTGACTTTTATTATTGGTTGACCAAACAATGTTGACTTTGCAGAACAATTTGGGACGGAGGGAGTAGTTGTTATATGCTGAATAGGAATAAAATATATACCATGATGACTGGAACTGGTTTAGGTGCTTTTTGTAAAGCTCTAACAGATGGTTATTCTAGTTCTCTCAACAATAATATCCAAGCCTTAGTCCCAAAAGATTTTGGGGTCGGCTGATTCTTAATTTATATCTTCATTATGAGCAGCATTGGTGTCCTGGTGTTGATACAACTTACAAGGGTGCTTGTTTGATCAATTAGATTGAGTTTGCAATAACTTTGTTTTTCAGTGTTTGACAGTTTTCTGAATCGTTATGCAATCACTTTATCTTCTTAACAGTCATATTTCTTTCTATCTGCTCAATTCGTCTTGGGGTTTTCTCTGTACGTAAAGTCATTTTCCACCGAGGTTGAGGAAAGTCCTGAAATCATTCCGCAGGGACTATTTTCTAGAAAACAGATAGAGCCTGAGTTTTAGAAGTAAAAAAATGCATTTGAAGAAAGAGTAAGGAGAATGGAGCTAGTAACTTTTATTTTTCTTTTTATTAAAGGGCGTATCCTTCTTTTCTTATTGAATTGTGTGAAAAATGTTTGTTAAATTTATGGAAACGCTCTCGATTATTATTTCAACCTTGTTTTGTTTTTCCTTATGATCTTGTTTCTCTTTTGTCATTAATATGCACGTATTCTTTGTGGATTCTTTGCCCTCATTAATATCAGGCAGACTCTGACAAAGATGGACGTCTGACTTTGTCAGAGATGATTGAGAGCCCATATGTGTTCTATAGTGCGATTTTCAATGAAGATGAAGATGATGACTATGAAGAGTACCATGATGAATTCCGTTAGCTTGGATCTATGTGTGAGTATGATTATTATACAATTGCTAATAATCACTACACTAATGACATATGTATGGTACACATGCCTTTTGAACTAGTCTAGATTCAGGAATCTGATTAAGATTATCATTTTTGGTCTCATACTCCTTCAGGTAGATGAGAAAATCACTCTTGAATCAGTCAATTTCAGCACAACACAAATCCTTAGTTTGATTTTTAGTTTTAGGAAAAAAGTTATTTGATCTGAAATGTTTAACATCTATTTAAATCTCTTTGGTATGAATGTTTTATCTTAGCTGATTTTTTCTGATATTTGGTTACAATGCTGACGACTTTGATTTATATTTGCAGGGCAGTAATTTGATGTTCCGAGTCTCCATCACTGGATGGTGTTTATGATACTTTTATTAAAAAGTAGAAAGGTGTTCTATAGCATCCCAAATGCAGCAGGCCTCAGCTGGTGATTTTGGTAGTCATTTATTTATATGCTACAGAAATCATTCCTCGTGCTTTCTTTTGCAGTTTCAGACTGTTCAATTTTTGGATTGTTTAGAGATAAGTAGGGAAAATTAAATCATTGATGGGGGTAGGTTAGTAATTTTAAATTAACTTGTGGCTTTACAGTTGCCTCATTCACTTTGCAAATTGCAGTTCATTGCTAGAACCTGTTTAATTTCATAGAAAATCAATTTGTAAATTTATAATAAAGTATGATTTTTTCACCTGTTTGAATTAAGACACTACGGAAATTAAGATATTGTTCATCATGATTATTTTATTCCAAACTTATTTTTGCATTCATTTTTTCTGCTGGCAAAAATAATCCTGTATGCCATGTCCTATCCACTGTTGCTACTTGCTAACAAAGGTTTAAACTTTACAGAGTAAAATTGACAAATTTATACAGCACTGACCATAGCATCAATTTCAATCCAATGCTTTTAAAGTGATGTATTGAAGAAAAACATCGGATAAGCCATTTAGTGGTTTGATTGATTCACGATTTTAATTTGGACCTGGATAACTGTTGGACATTTCTATTTTGTTCACAACTATTACAAACCATATAGTAACTTAGTAAGGCCTAGGAATAGATTTAGAGTCAGTCACTTATACTGTATATGAGCAAACATAAGTCTACAATGACTGAAAATGAAGCATTGCCTATCAAAAGTTCATCAAAAGTCAAAATACTCCAATCATACCTACTCAAACTGAAAATAAAAACAAGTACTAGTAAAGGAAAAGTAATACGAAAATAAAAACTTTCCTCAAATTGCTTCTTTGCACGGAGGTGGTTCCGGAGGAGGATGAGCTTCTATAGTATGGGAGAAGAGAGTTTCGACCCCCGGAAAATTCATCTGAAGCCCTATCCTTCTTGCGCTTGCCAATTTGCTCCTTGAGGTTTGCCATTGAAATCCATGTACGAGGTGCAGAAGAAATATCTATCATGTTGCCTTGTGTTTCTTCGCCCCCAAATATCCAAGCCACACCCACCTCCCTTGCGTTCCACTCACGTTCCGAAACTCCCAAGGGGAAAGCCGCACAAAACTCACGTTCCACGAAAATCCAAGCCGTACGAACGAAGTTCGGCGAAACAAAAAACCATAACTGGTGTAGGGAGACGAAATATGCAAGGGTGCGCTACACTTCATAGACCTGGGTGTGGTGATAAGAATGCTAAGGTTGCTAGGTCGCCGCCCGGAAGCGGCGCATCATCCCATTGCCCGGGGATGATGTCAAATATGCAAGGGCATGATGGGGTTCAAGATGGGGCTAAGAACAGAAGGTGGAGTGCTAGATTGCGTTTTGGGACATGGAATGTTGGGTCTCTTACAGGCAGATCTTCCGAGGTAGTCGAGGTTATGAGGAGAAGGAATATCTGCATTATGTGTGTGTAAGAAACTAAATGGGTTGGAGAGAAAGCATGCAAGATTAATCATGGAGGTTTTAAGTTGTGGTATTCGGGGAGAGATAAGACCACAAATGGGGTAGGCATTATTGTGGCGCGTGACTATGTTGATGATGTGGTAGAAGTCTTCAGGAAGAACGATCGCATCATGAGCATTAAATTGGTGATAAGGGGTGAGATTGTGTCTGTGGTAAGTGCCTATGCACCACAAGTGGGATTTGATGCATCTACAACTCAATAGTTCTGGGAAGGTCTTGAAGACGTGGTGCGATGAGTGCCGAGGGGAGAGAAGTTGATCATAGGAGGTGACCTCAACGGGCATGTGGGCTCGAGTCGTGATGGCTTTGAGAGTATTCATGGCGGACATGGTTTTGGCACTAGGAATGAGGTGGGAAAGAACATTTTTGGATTTTGCCTTGACGTATGAGTTGGCTATAATGAACACTTGGTTTAAGAAAAGAGACTCTCACCTTGTAACCTATAAAAGTGGGGCTAATAGTACTCAAATTGACTACTTCTTAGTACGGACCACTTGGAGAATTAGCTACATTGATTGTAAGGTTATTCCATGTGAGAGTGTTGTCACTCAACATAGGATGCTTGTGCTTGACTTTCGGGGTAAGAACCATAGAAGACAAGTTAAACAACAAGTGAAGCCAAAGATAAAGTAGGGAGGCTTGAGGGAGTTTTTCAACAAAGCTTTACACACAAAATGGTCGGTGAAGATGTATGTCGTATTGATAATGAAACACATGTGGATGATGTGTGGTTATCAATGGAGTTGACAATTAACAAAGTGGCAAAGGAGGTACTTGGAGAATCTAAAGGATGTCTCCCACCTAAAAAGGACACGTCTTGGTGGAATGATGAGGTGAAACAAGCCATAAGGAATAAAACAGATTGCTACAAAAAATTGGGGACAAGTTGGAGTGATGAGAACATAGAAGCATACGAGGAGGCTAAAAGACAAGCAAAGAAAGCCGTAAGGGAAGCACGAGGGAAAGTGAACAAGGAGTTGTATGAAAAGTTGGACTCTAAGGAAGGAGAACTAGATATTTATATACTTGCTCGTCTTCGTGATCACAGGACTCAAGATATTGAAAAAGTTAAGTGTGTGAAGGATGTCGATCAGAGGATATTAATGGACGACGGAGAGATAAAAGAGAGGTGGAGGTCATACTTTGATACACTATTCAACGGGAACAAAACGCAAGATATCGGTGATTTGTCCATACCAGATTGTATGGTAAATCGTGATTTTGTGAGAAGGATCCAAACAATGGAAGTTAAAGAAGCTCTGAGGAAGATGGGACGGAAGAAAGCAGTGGGTCCAGATGACATACCGATCGAGGCTTGGAGAAGTTTGGGAGAGAGAGGCGTCGGGTGGTTAACAAGTTTCTTCAACATGATTTGGAGAAACAACAAGATGCCAACGAGTTGGAGGAAGAGTACTCTTATCCCCTTATTTAAGAATAAAGGTGATGTACAAGAACGTGCCAACTATCGAGGGATTAAGCTTATGAGTCACACCATGAAACTTTGGGAGCGAGTGATTGAGCAAAGGTTTCGAAGAACTGTGAAGATTTCAGAGAATCAATTCGGTTTTTATGCCTGGTCGCTCAACAACTGAGGCCATTCACCTTCTTCGGCAACTTATGGAGAAGTATAGAGACGCTCATAAGGATCTACATTTGGTGTTCATTGACTTAGAAAAAGCATATGATAGGGTACCTCGAGAAGTTCTTTGGTGGGTCTTAACTAGAAAAGGCATATCACACAAGTGTATCATCATCATCATGGATATGTATGAGGATTGTACTACAAGTGTCCGTAATAGTGTAGGGAGGACTGAAGAGTTCCCTATTACTATCGGAGTGCACCAAGGATCAGCTCTGAGCCCTTTCTTATTTGCCATAGTCATGGATGAACTTACGAAGTCAATTCAAGACGATATACCGTGGTGCATGATGTTTGTCGATGATATTGTATTGATTGATGAGACGCAATCAGGTCTTAAAGAAAAGTTAGAAGTATGGCGACAAACATTGGAGAATAAGGGTTTCAAACTAAGTCGGAGCAAGACAGAGTACATGGAGTGCAAGTTTGGTGGAGGTAGAAGCAGTGGTAATAGCAGAATTACTCTGGAAGGTGAGTTAGATGGAGATGTATCTCATAGAATCAGAACAAGGTGGATGAAGTGCAAGAGTGCGTCAGGATTTCTATGCGATCGAGGTATGCTGACTAGACTGAAGGGTAAATTTTATAGGACAACAGTTAGACCTGCATTACTGTATGGCGTAGAGTGTTGGACGGTGAAACAATGTCACATTCAAAAGATGAGTGTGGCAGAGATGCGCATGCTGTGTTGGATGTGTGGGCATACTAGGAAGGACTGCGTGAGGAATGAGACAATCAGACAAATGTTGGGAGAAGCACCTATTGAAGACAAGATGCGGGAGTCGTGCCTACGGTGGTTTGGGCATGTGCGTAGAAGACCGAGTGATGCACCTGTGAGATGAGTTGAGATGTGTGGAGATGAGGCAGAGAAGAGAGGGAGAGGAAGACCCAAACAGACGTGGGTGAAGGGAGTTCGAAGTGATATGCTTCTTCTGGGGTCGGATGAGGGCATGACTTTGGAGAGAGCTAAGTGAAGGACGGGTATTCGTGTGGAGGAGTGATCTCGTATCATCTTTCCCCCTCATTTTTTCCTTGTTTTTTATCCTTATATATATAAACATTATTTGTATCCTTTTTGTTTTATCATTTTTATGTATATTCATCTCTTTTTATATTATCTTTTTATCATAGCTTATCTTTTTTATCTTTATTTTCTTTCTTTTCCTTTTGGTGGTGATATCATGTATCGATTCATGTTAGGCAACCCTAATATGTTTTGGGACTAAGGCTTGGATGTTGTTGTTGTTGTTGTTGGTGGTGGTGGTGTAGGGAGACGGCCGCCTGGAGAAGAGTGCTATCCCAATTGAATTTCGAGTAAATAAACTATAAAAACAGTGAAGAGAGAAAGATGATAAAAATGTGGCAAAATAAAGGGAAAATAATTTAAAAAACCTCAAACTTTAATGAGGTGTGAGATAAGTACCATAAACTTGCATATACAATATATATATCCTAAACTTTATATAAAAAGTTATTTTCACACCATGATAGTATGTTTTTATAAAAATACAAATTTATTGGGATAATTACATAATTTATAATACTCTAAGCTTTGTTAGAATGTAATAGAGTTTAGAAGAAGAGAGAATTGCAAACTGAATTGCATACTTTATTCTCAGGCATACACTGGTATTTATACAATCATTGAGAGCCTATGTAATAATTATAATACTAATTACAAGGATATGTAACGGTTAAAACTGAAACTATAATAATTGAAAATATTATAAATTAATATTTTCTGGATTCTTCTACACGCCTCCGCAAGCCAGGTATTCTGTCACTCCCAAGAATCCTGAGCTTGTCTCTTAGTAGAGTAAACCGTTGTCGTGAGAGTGGTTTGGTAAGAGCATCAGCTAACTGATCATGAGAAGAGATGTGAAGAACATGAAGAAGCCCACGTTGCACACGTTGTCGAAAACAATGAAAATCAATGACAACGTGTTTCATCCTGGAATGGAAAACCGGATTTGCTGAAGAAGTTGTAGCGCCTTTGTTATCACAAAGTAGGAGCGGGGAAGCGAGGGGCGGATTTCGGAGTTCATGAAGAAGAGACTCAATCCAAAGAATTTCTGATGCATCAGTAGAGAGAGACCGATACTCTGCTTCTGTAGATGATTTAGAAATGGTTCGTTGTTTAATGGACTTCCAGGAAACAAG